TTTTGTTCAGCCACCTTTTTTCATCTTCATCATCTTCATCAAGTCCTGTCAATCCAGTTGTCGGTGTGTATCTCAGTATCAGTTGGTGCTACAAGAATAATTCTTACACCAATCTACTCCAACAGTCTATGCGCAGGTCCATGTCCCATCAGATCATTCTTCAAGTAAGGAAAAAGTGATACTGTGACTGCTGGATCGAGCCATCTTAGCTACATGCCGCCATTTTGTTAATTAAAGAAGCTTGCCATGTGCTCCATAATTTGGGTGTGGTCGCGCATGCTCAGATCTGCAGCTCTGGAAGAAGCAAGTTATTTTTTTTACCAAGCTATGCTTGGAATCAATTTACTGCAATACTTTAGTGGAGGTTTCCAGCTAAAAGAAGGTATTGATTTTACATGTTACTGTTTTATCAAGTGTGTTATTTTATTTTATTTTATTTTAAAAAACAAACAATTAATTAATGTTATGACTTATGATATGCAATGATAATTATGAACTTGATAATCTCGCCCCGCCCCTTCGCTACCTGTGGATGGAGGAAGGGTCTGGAGACTGGAGACACTCACGCAAAAAGTGTGTGGAAAGAAAAACACGTGGTTGGCTCTACGTCATGTGACAGAGGAGACCAGATCCGTCAAGACAGCTTAAACAGATGCTTTGCAGCTAAGAAAAGATTAGGATACAGTCTCTTAGACATCTCTTGCAGATTTGAGAGCAGCAACTCTTCACAGAGCGCCATAATATTTACTTTTTATTGATGACGTTTATTGTAAACAATGTGACAGTATATTACGTCATAAATGCGATGGCGTCGTTGTAGTAAGCAGCACGATAATGCTGATCTAAAACTTTGAGAAAGAAGTCCAGGAAGCGTTACAGGCTCTTTCCTTCCTTTATTTGGTCCTCATTCTTCCTCTTTTGTCTTAAACAGAGCTCTTCGGTCACATGACTTCTTGTCCTACACGTGGTTCGAGCAATCTGATTGGGACGTGGATTTCTCTGCATGAGCACACATTTTTACCTTGAGTGTCTCCGCTCCAGACTAGGCCTTGGCGGATTATGCCAGCATAATTTTGAGCATAATAGGAGCCAAAAGCATTTAGCATAATGTAAGCATAATAGAGCTCAGTATCAGCATAATAGAGTTTTATAACTTTTTTCAAATCACAATATAAAATATTAGTCCACTGATACAATACTAGTCCACTGATTGTTCAGAGTCACTTTTGTTGTACCTTATCATCAATGCCAGCTCCACATAATCCTCAAGAGCAGCCTGCTGCTGGCTATTAAATTGATTGAGTAGAGAAAAAACTCGTTCCACAGAGGCTGAAGAAGGCTGGCAAAGTAGCACTTTTCTACAAGCATCAGCCCAGAATGGAACTTTATTTGAGTTCTGTTTCCACCAAAGAAGTGGATCGACTTCCACTACATCTTCTGTTAAAGCAAGGTAGGTTGGTAGTTCAGATTTCAACTGCTTTAGAGTTTCTTCGTTGTCAAAAAACTTAAAGGCTCGTAAAGTATTCACAGTTGAAGCATCTGGTTTGAGATTATTAACCTTTGTAGGAAGGAACAGCCGTGCTGCCTTAAATGCATCAACTACTGGTCGTAAATCAACATCAATCTTTTGTTCGAAGTAGTCATAGGCTGGCTTTACACACGACTTAGCATAATCCACCAACTTATTCTCTGGCATAGATGGACTTGCTAACTTCTTAGCAATTGCATATGTGTTGGGCAAGTGTGAAACTTGAATTGCTGCCTTGATAGAACAAATAACTTCATAGCATTCCAATGCAACTGGTCCATCACCTTCAAGTTTGTAAGTAGCCTTAACAATGGGCTCCCCTGCATCAACTGTAACAGCCAATTCCAAAAGTAGTTCCTTTGTAGAAGTGAGTAAGAGATGTTGTAGCTTTTCTTTTGATTTAGGAGCAGTATCAGATAAGGCTAAATCTTTGATAAAGTCAGGAACATCACCAAACAGCTCAAGCACCTGCTTTACACATTCCCATTTGCTCCACCACCTGGTTGCACTATATGTAACAATGGCTTTGCCTGTTCTTTC